TTCATGAAGACTTAAAAGGTCTAGCAGTCTTCGCTTACAGCAGAACAGGAGGTGACAGCAGATGCCAGCAAGCTACACAAAGCAGGGGGCCTGGAATAGTAAGCAGACCAATCTGCTACCAATTTAAACTCTATTTGCATTGTCTCCCCCTTTAAAATTTTTCTTAAGCTCTAGGGGCACCTGGGTGGCTCAGTAGGTTGAGCATCGGACTCTTGATTTCAGCTCAGGTCATGAGCTCACGGTCATGGGATGGAGCCCCAAGTAGGTCTTGATGCTGGGGTTGGAGCCTGCCTCAGATTCTCTCCCTGCCCCCACCAAAATAAAAAAATAAATGAATGAATTAAAATTTTTTTAAAAACAAAAAAGAGGGGCGTCTGGGTTGCTTAGTTTGTTGAGTGTCCGACTTCAGCTCAGGTCGTGATCTCACCATCTGTGGGTTCGAGCCCTGCATTGGGCTCTGTGCGGATAGCACAGAGCCTGGAGCCTGCTTCAGATTCTGTGTCTCCCTCTCTCTCTGACCCTCCCCCACTCATGCTCTGTCTCTCTCCTTCTCTCAAAAATGCATAAATGTTAAAAAAAAAATTTTTTTTAATACAAAAAAGATTTAAAAAAAATAAAAAAAATTTCTAAGCTCTGATCATCAGTCTTGTGCAGTTGCCAAGCGACAGATAAATTTTCCTTTATCACTTTAACATTGCCCCGTGACCCCTCTTGGCAATCAGAAAATAAATAGAGCTAAGTTATAGTGTAACCCAGCTGGGGAAGGACTTGGCCTGATAAGAGAAGATGTGACTTTACAGTAAAAGGAGCTGCAAGGCCATCAACGTGTCAGTGGGAGCAAGGAGAATACCTTTGGGACTATATTCTGAGGATCCTGAACAAGGGGAAAATGGAAAATAAATTTGGATAAGGGAGAGTTTATCGATTTGGGAGCACTCACCAGGAAGAGACAAATGAATGCCCTGGAAAGGACCCTGGAAAATACGACTGTCATAGTTCCATGATGGCTCTTAGAGGCTTGAAGAAAGTGGTGGCCCATGCTGAGAGAAGTAGAAATAGAATTGTCATGGCAGATGGCGGAAGCAGGGAGCAAAATGCTCAGAAAAGTGGCATGCTAGAGCGGTTATGCACGTAAAGCTGGAAACTCCACCAGATGACAAAGTTCTGATTCAAATTCTCCATTTATGAAAGTGACTAGGAATTATCTGGTGAGAGGGGTACCAGCCTCACTGGTGGGCTCTCCTCCATACCTCATGGCTGATGATAAAAGATGCTATTACCAGAATAGGTTCAAAGATAGCAACAAAGATAACTAAATCTTGAAACAATAGAGGCCAGGTAGCAGCATCAGAAGGGTGCAACTGTCTTACTGCGTGGCAAGAATGGAGTGGCAGCCAGAGGTCTTGACCTACAGAGAGCTCTGAAGATGATTAATAGAACATGGCACCCCTCAGGGGAAAGACAGAAGCTAGCCAATGAAAGCATACTCAATGAAAATGAAAAGTCAGGGATGGATGAACACAAGGCTGAGAGTGGCAGCCTCTATAAAAAGGTTCAGTCTCTTCCCCGGTTTCTTGACTTGAACCAGTTTATCATTCCAGATCCTAGTGGTTGAAGGAGAGCTAGGAACACCAAGAGGGAGGACCCTGTAACACCACAGTGAGAATATACAGTGATGCACCCATGCCCCCAGCAATTCTTCTCCAAAGAGACCTACGGCCATTCCCTTGGGAAACCATATACTGAAGAAAAGACAATGCCTAAATATTTTGAAGACTGTTGGGCACAATTATTGATACCTAGGAACCCTGAATATTATTATGACCTTCAATTAGAGTAGAGGTATACAGGAGGCAGGTAATGAATGGAGTTTTTGCCCAGATCTGGCATACAGCAGGTCCACTGAGCACATGGACCAATGTGGTGGTTGTTTCCCCACTCCTAAACGTATAGTTGGAAAGGACATATTTGGTAGTTAGTATAACACCCACATTGGTTCTTGGCCTATGGGATAAGGGTTATGAAAGTGCGAAAGGCCACAAGGAGCCTTTGAAATCGCACAGCCAATATATTAAATACAAACAATACAGGAGAATGGTAGATATTAATGCCACTTCTGGTTCCCATCATATCCATTTAATTCACCATTCATGTGCCTCCAGAGACCCAACAGCTCCTGGAGAATAAATAATAGACTACTGCAATTGAACTCCAAGTCATAACTACAATTAGAGCTGCTCTACCGCATGTGGTATCTTTACAAGAACAGAGCAACATAACCTCAGGGAACTGGCTTGAAGTGGTTGATGTGATGAATGTGTTCTTTTCCAACCTTATCAGAAAGTAAGATTAGAAGGTGTTTGCATTCACTTAGAAAAAATAATAGAAAATATTTATAGTCTTCCCCCAGGGCTATGTTGTCTTTTCTACCCTCTGTCATAATATAGTCCTAAGAGACTTGAAATGTTTGGATATCTCACAAAACACAACACTGGTCTACCGCATTGATGGTATTATGCTAATCGAGTTAGATTGATAAAAATTGGAGGCCTTGGTGAAACATGTTTACTCCAGAAGAATAAGAAGAAAAACCCTACGAATTGTTGGGGATCCACCAAATCAGTAAAATTTAAGAATTATGGGTTCCAGAGAATACTTTTTTGTGTCCTGTTTAAGAAATATCTGCCATGGGGTGCCTGGGTGGCTCAGTCAGTTAAGTGTCCGACTTTGGCTCAGGTCACAGCTCGTGAGTTCAGGGCCCACATCAGGCTCAGTGCTGACAGCTCAGAGCCTGGAGCCTGCTTTAGATTCTGTGTCTCCCTCTCTCTCTCTGCCCCTCCCCCCCTCTCAAAAATAAATAAAAACATTTAAAAAATTAAAAAAAGAAATATTTGTCTATTTCTCGGTCATGTTTTCTTATAAAAATATTTACTATTTTACTTTCGTATTTAGACTTATGATCCATCTGGAATTGTTTTTTTTTTGTATTTTGTTGGTAAGGAAGGTGGTCAGCCTTCATTTCTTCTGTAGTGTTGATAAATATCCCCAAGTTCTTTTATTGAACCCCTCCCTCTGAAAAAACAACTTCCTACGTTGCTCTGCAGTATCACCTTTGAAAAGGCAAATTACCTTTCATGTGTGCATCTTTTTTAGGTCTCTCTCTCTCTCGACCATTTGCCTATTTTCTATCTTTGTGCCAATAGAACACTGATTTAATAACTATAACCTTTTAATAGGTCTTAATATCTGGCAGTGAAAGTACTCCCGTTTGTTTGTTTGTTTTTTTTTGAAATTACCTTGGATATTCTCTGCCTCTGAATTTCCATATGTATTTTAGAATCTGCTTATCAATTTCCTTTCAAACAATCTTCTGGAACATTACTGAAATTGCTTTGAATCTATAGATAAGTTTTAGGAGAAATGACATTTTAATCCATAAATATGGATATAGCTGCATTTATTTAGTATTTAATTTCTGTCAGTGTTTTGCAGCCAGTAATGTTTTGTATCACATCTTTTTATAGATTTATAACTAGGTATTTGATGACTTTGGGTACTATTATGATTGTATACTTTATGTGTCATTTTCTATTTATTCTCTGGAATACAATTAAATTTTGTATATAGTCATTGTATCCAGTGACCCTATTAAATTCACTTATTAATTTAAGTTGCTGATAGATTCTTTTAGACTTTAACTGTATACAGTCATATGTCTTATGAATGACGGTGTAATTTCTTCCTTTCTGATCTATATGCCTTTTATTTTTCTCCTTTATTGCATTGGCTGGAGCATCCAATAACAAGTTAAAAACAAGTGGTAATAGCAAATATGTCCTTGTTTCATTGTTTACATCAGGGGGAAACATTCAATGATTTAAGTATAACATAAGCTGTAGTTTTTCATAGATGCCCTTTATCAGATCAAGGATGTTCCCTCTATTCCTATTTTTCTAAGAGTCTTTATCATGAGCAAATGTTTAATTTTATCAAATTCTTTTTTCCACAACTACCAAGATGATCATATGAATTTTCATTTTTTTTCCCCCCAGTTATTCTGATGAGTTATATTGGACTTTCCCCCAAATACCCATCCTTCCATTTCTGGAATAAGCCCCACTAAGTCATGATTATCCTTTTTATATACCACCTGGTTAAATTTGCTAATTTTGTGTTTATGATTTTTGCATCTATGTTTGTAATGGAGATTGATAAACCAGCCTCTTAAAGTAACATTTTTTTCCTTCTCATTACAAATGCTTTAGAAAACCAGAAATTATATGATCCCAAGCGTGCTTTAGGATGTTTATTTTGTAGTGTACAAGATATAGAATGGATTTATGCAGGAGATGGGTGGTGAAGAATTAGGGGGCTACTGGAGTATTAAGAGAAGAGCTTGGACCAGTTTGGTTCAAGTAGAAATGAAAAGGAAGCATAGACTCCCCAATGTTTAGCTCCTGATTAGATGGAAGGGTAATGTTGTGAAGTAGAGAAGTTAGGAGAAGTTGATTAAGGCTTGGATAAGGGCAAAAATAAGGAGTTGACGCGGGGTAAAATCTTTATCTTCACTATAATTATCATCATCGTTTGGATCCATACAAAGGAATGACTGCAATCTAAGAAATCGCAAATGCATGAAATTACATGATTGGTTACTATGTCAAGGTTGCTTTGTAGCTAATTTTTAAAATTATTTCCATTCACAATCACAAAAGGTTAGATAATCTTATTTACAATGGGATCCATACTTCGTAACCTAATACAGCACATTTCGATACAGATTGCGCTGTTCAATCCCTTCACCACCAGGTGGCGACTAGCAGCCCACGTCGCACTCCTGGTTATCCCTCCTCTTCCTAGGCGGACCGGCTCCCGGGAGCGCGCACGTCCAGGAGTCCACGCCGTTTGCGGGAGCTGTGGCCGCGCACGTCGGTCAGCTGCTGTTACGCTTCCGCACGTCGTCCATCTCCCCCCCCCCCCCCCCCAGAAGACCCGGACCCATGTGGAAGCTGGTCCCCGTGGCGGGCCCGGCCCGAGGTAAGGGCGGAAGGGAGATTCCCCCGGGACTGTTTTCCCGGGAGCAGTTGCCGTGGGGAGAGGGGCCCCGAGGAGCGATGCTTCCGGTTCTTCTTGGCCTGCTCCCCGCCTTGCGGCGCCGCCTTCGTTCCCGCCCCGGGAGGCTGCGGAAGCGGGGTGTGGGGACCGCGGTGTCTTCCCGGGCAGCGCGGTGCTTTTGAACGCGCTTTTGCGTGCGCGGTGGAGGGGGCGTGGGGCTCAGGGGCTGTCAGTGGCGTTGGCGTCCCTCACCCGGCCTACCGTCTAGTGGTCGGGGGTTGGGACCGGCTCTGACCCGCCTTGCAGGCCCTGCCGAATTGAGCCTTGGCCGGCCACTTGTTGCGTCCTCTAGTGTTTCGAGCTTTTGGCGAAACACGAGAATGAAGTTAACGCAGGCTAGACCGCGTGATGGCAACAGATGACTTTGTCTCGAGCGCATTGTTCAACCTTGCGAAAAACCGGCCATGACTCGGATAAGTGGCAACCACAGGAAAGCGTAATTTCAGTTTTTAGAGCCCTTTTTGTCATCAGAACTGACAAAGTAGATTTTTTTTTCTGCCGTGTATTTTCAGCCATGGCAGGTGGTTATGTCCCGTTAATTGGTTGCCTGGTGTGTCCGAGTCCTTGTTAAGCGGCTGTAGCCTATGATTAGGTGTCGCCCTTAGGCAACATTATGATGGGCCAAAGACCTACCTCAGTTTACTGACAGTGTGTGAAGAAGGCCAAAACGAATGGTTAGGAAAGTAAGTACTATAAAGACTAAAGATGAAGGCATCACCGTGGACTTGGAGCAGTGCTGAGGTAGAACGTAAGCTGTTGGTGGGCGAGTACGATTCAGTTGCTTTCCAAGAACAGCCGTGCCCTGTGGCTGGCTCTCAGAGTTCCTGTAGCCAAGGTAGGTAGCAGTACAAAAATGCCTCTATCATCATTGGCCAGCATTCTTCTTGACTTTTAGGCGAGTTTATCCGCCCTAATTACCCTACCACTCCGGTGATGGACTCCTGGGTTCCCATACAAAAACTTTACTAGCTTCCAACAAAATGCTGTTGCAACCCATAATTTGTGATTGCAACATTAACAAAACAAAACAAAACTAATAACATTTTCCCGCTTGTTTGAAATGCTATCTTTAACGTAAAAACAAAATTCCCCCCAAATACACACTTAAATCAGGGCTGAATTTTGCATTGATCTATGTTGTTTCTTCCTGATACCATACATTTTAATTACTATAGCTTTATGACATAGCTTACCATCTGGTAGGGGAGGTTCTGTAATATTCATATTTTTCTTGACAGTTTTTTACATTTATTTCCCAGTGGATTTTTGAATCTATTTATCAGGTTCCAGACATAGTATTGGGATTTTTGTTGGGTAATGAATGAAATGTGTAAGTTAATTTGGGCAAGCATTGACACTGCTCAATATTGTTTTCTCTTTAGAAAATTCTAGAGTTTTCCATTTATCTAATCTTTTGCATTCTTCAGTGAGACTTTACCAGAAAACCCAAGTTTGATTTATATAAAGTTGATTATTAACATTTAAGTAGTAAAATAAGAATATTGAAGTATTTGCCTGCATATATATGTGTATCTGGATGTGTGTCTATACATTTACTTTTTTTTTTTTTTTTTTTAAATAGAACCATTCAGACTGTTGACTGGTGTTGAATACGTTGTTGGAAGGAAAAACTGTGGCATTCTAATTGAAGGGGATCAGTCAATCAGTCGAAATCATGCTGTGTTAACTGCTAACTTTTCAGTAACCATGCCGGTATGTTCACTAGTTTATATAGTAAGGGAGTTGAAATTACAGGATTACTTTGGTGGGTATGTGAGAGAGTTTGTAGGATTTTTAATTTCATAAAGGTGTTCTTTAAATGTTAAATACTTAACATTTTGGTAGTCGTAAAAATGATACTCGTTTAGTTTGATATTTGAAGTTTCTGTTCCCATGTTTTACTCCGTTGTAGTAATTTAGAAAGTCAAAGGAAGTAGAACACATTTATACTTACTTGATGAACATTACGCGTTTACTGTGTGTCCATCAATGTGCCAAGCCTGGCAGTGAAGCAGTGACAGACTGTCACACTCCTGCTTTATTTAAAATTTTTTGGTGGGGGCGCCTGGGTGGCTCAGTCGGTTAAGCACCCGACTTCGGCTCAGGTCATGATCTCATGGTCCGTGGAGTTTGGAGTTCCCCTCATCGGCTCCCCAGCTGACAGTTAGAGCCTGGAGCCTGCTTCGAATTCTGTGTCTCCCTCTCTGTCTCTCTTTTCTTTCTGCTCTCCCCCGCTCATGTTTCTGCCCTCTCTCTTCAAAATAATGTGCTCTATATAAAAAAAATTTTTTTTTTAAATGTTTATTTTTGAAAGAGACAGACAGAATGAGAACTAGTTGGGGAGGGACAGAGAAAGGAGACCCAGAATCCGAAGCAGGCTCCAGGGTCTGAGACAATTAAATCACACAAACCACGAGATCTGAGCCGAAGTCAGAACTCCTGTTTTAAAGAGTTTGTAAGCCATGTGAAGATAGGCATTTCCCATATAATGTAGGTTTTCACAGTGGGAATTGGTTGGTTTTATTAGGAAAAACAGCTGTTGCTTATGTCCCATAGCTCCTCTTGAATGGCTTTCAGTTTGTTTTTATTTGGTTATTGTTTTAATTACAACTCTGTGTTGAAAGTAACATATAATATATACATGTATATATATATATATATATATATATATGCTAGCCATGATACTACAGATAAGAAGAAGAAAAAGCCATTATCTTGAGCAAAGATCATACATCAAATGCTGTATCTGTTCAGTAATATTTAGGTTTTAGGTCTGTATTCTTTAGGTATAGAAGAAGATTATTAAATTCCTAAAGGAAAATAAAAATTATTACTGCAGGCGACTTAAATTCTTTTCTCATTGGACTATTTTTTACTATGTGTTATTTTGATAATGTAAAAAAAAAAAAAAAACCCTTAGGAACTGTTGTCATGTGTGAAACAGGACTATACAAAAAACAAGGAATTGTCAATGTGTGAAATTCAGGGTCAGGAAAAATCTCCACTGACTTACAAAAAATGACAAGAGGGTGATCTGAATTAAGATGATTTGCTATTTCTAGCTGATAGTGATGATTCTATGAACTGCAAAACAATAACTATTAAGTTTATCAAAAGTTAGGAAGTTAGCCATCTATCAATTACCTATTCAAAAGTTACCAGTTTTATTTTGAAACCTTTCCCCCCTGAGAATTATATTTACTGAGTGGTGAAAGACTTTAAATTAGGTATTGATTTTTTTTTCCCCCAGAGTGAAAACAGATGAAATTCTAGTATTGACAATAAAAGATAATTCTTAGTATGGTACCTTTGTTAATGAGGAAAAAATGCAGAATGGCTTTTCCCAAGCTTTGAAGACCGGGGACAGAGTTACTTTTGGAGTGTTTGAAAGTAAATTCAGGTAAGGATTTTTTTTTTTTTTAATTTTTTTTTCAACGTTTATTTATTTTTGGAACAGAGAGAGACAGAGCATGAACGGGGGAGGGGCAGAGAGAGAGGGAGACACAGAATCGGAAACAGGCTCCAGGCTCTGAGCCATTGGCCCAGAGCCCGACGCGCTGGGGGTCAATCAATGGATCAAGCAAGATCGTGACCTGGCTGAAGTCGGACGCTTAACCGACTGCGCCACCCAGGCGCCCCAAGGATTTTTTTAATTGATACTAAAAATGGATGGCTTTGCTTTGCACTACTCAAATTTTAAAGGACACGTTATTTATAGATAATAAATTGAAAACCGTCTAATTTAGTTCCTTCTTAGCATGTTAGTGAACTTTGCATCATGTGTGGTTAGTGCGCTTTGCCAATCATAGGTAGTGCCAAGGGTGAATAAGAGTGTGATTGGTCTCCGAGGACCTTAATGGGAGCTACATTTGTTTGATTCCACATCAATGAAAGCATAATGTTAACTTTGATCATTGTTTTTCCTAAGTGCAACTTAAGACTTAGGAAGTGATAATTTAATAAATTAGGAAGTTTAATAACATGTAAAAGTTAAAATAACACAGTGTGACATGAGCTTAAAGTTTACAGTACTATAAGTTGCCCTTTCTGGAGCTATGATAATACAACTTTATGTAACTTATTCTCATTTACAGAGTAGAATATGAGGCTTTGGTTGCATGCTCTTCTTGTTTAGATGCTTCTGGGAAAACTGCTTTAAATCAAGCTATATTGCAACTTGGAGGACTTACTGTAAACAATTGGACAGAAGAATGTACTCATCTTGTCATGATATCAGTCAAAGTTACCATTAAAGTAGGTTGAATGCCTTGTTATTATGTTAAAATAAGTTCTTGAATTTAAGCTTACTCTCCCACTATACACAAGCCGTTTACTTTACAATTATCAGGGCTGTTAGTTGTGGATTTATATATGTTAATCCATGCGTTTGTATACCATATAGGCTAGAATGACTTTTCAGGTAACTTGTTTATTATTTGAGACAAGCAAAAGCACATAAAATTATATTTCAGGTTTTGATTTAGCATTTTAAAAATGACTTATGGTGTACTTTTCACCAATAAGTTTATAGTTGATATCTTCAGTCTAAAAGCAAAGTGATGGAAGTCAACTGCCAGTCTCCGAAGTTAGTATCTCTAGTCTCTTCTATCAGATTGTCTTCCTCCAGCTCATCTCATGGTCTCATGCTCTCTTACTTAGTTTCTGTTTTGTATAATGCCCTAATCACAGACTTTCTAAGTTCTTATCAGTTAATATTATCTTCACAATCTAGAGACATGTATGTAGGTACACACCATTAGAAGGTGCCAACTCTTCATTAAAGCAGTGATACATTTTGGTGTGTTTTCAGATTTTGCATCTTCATCAGATTTGGTCGTATCCAAAGCTAATTGAAGAATGACATTGGGAGGTGATTTGTCTCCTTTTAAACAGGTTGACTATAGATAATGTGGGATTGTTTTAGGTTAGTATCTATAGTGAAAAGCAAAAAATATTTAGATTCCTTTATTAGATGCAAAAATCCATTAATATTTAATGTAATTAAAATATATGTATTTTAGCTAAACGGGTATCATGGAGAAAGACTTGCTGCTTAGATTGAACCTCAGGTTAAACTTTTATGTTGGTGGGGTTATCTCTGATCAAGGATCATTCCATCTTTGCAAGTTTATGAAATCGATTTATAAATTCAGAGTGATTAACCTCCTGAGTACCAATTTATGCTAGTAAATCAAAATGTCCATTTATTAGCTTACCGTAAGGATGCACCTTTATAGTGACCACGTATTTATGTGTGGACTTCCTTGAAGGTATTAAGGTACCTGAGAAGTGAAACTTAGGTAGTCATGCACTCACTTGGTGGTTATGAAATAAGAGCAAAGGCAGTTGGAAGGTCTTGAGAGAGATTTACTGAGTCTGTGACAGACCTGGAACTAGCATTCATTCACCAGAGTACACACTATTCCAGTGGGTGGGATACTAATGGCAGCGGTTATTAGAGAGTCACTGGATATACACCATCATTGACTTGTAGAGCAGTCCTTTTTCAAATACTTTTGATCAGTCATGTGCCAAAAGAGAAAACCTAGTTATTGTATTCTTTTGGGGGTAAATTATCCAAAAGTACAAGTTACCTTATATTTTTAAAATCATTAAATGTCAGAACCCAAAGGAAACTTAAGGAACATTCAGTTCAATTTTTATTTTCTGAAGAAGAAACTAAGGCGTGACCAATTAAATCCTTTGCCCAGAATCACATGTATTGGAGCTTACTCAGTCCAGTGTGAGTTGCACATCACTGCTTCCTGCCAGAAGTCAGTTATTTCACTCACATTTGAGGTTGGTGTATTCAGATTTCATTCTTGAGAGACACCCTAAGCTGCTTGCTCATATTTAAGTACTACCTCTTGTTATTAGAAACATATTTAGAAATTTTTCAGTTGGATTATTTCCTAAAGTTATGATGAATCTTGATTTTTATATTCAGTGGTATTTTCTAATCTTTTTCAGGTTTTGATATATTTGATGTTGATAGTTTAGTTCACTTGCTATTTGCGGTTTCTCCACCCTCACCCTCCCCGATCTGCATATATTTTGAGCTTTTATCCCTCCCCAAACTGTTACTTTTATTTACTTTCTCAAAAATACTTGAATCCATAGTTACAATCTGTTCAAAAGGCATTTTTTTAGGCAGAAAAGGTCTTAAAACTCATATTTATCTCTAGGGTACTTGATAGACTTAGTCCTACGATCTACTTTTTAATATTTAATGTCTTTTAAATTGGAATACATTTTAAAATTGATTTATATCTTATGTTCTGCCTTCTCTAAAGCAGGTTTTTTTTTTTTTAATTTTTTTTAATGTTTATTTTTTGAGAGGGAGAAAGAGTGCAAGCAGGGGAGGGGCAGAGAGAAGGGAGACACAGAATTCGAAGCAGGCTCCTGGCTCTGAGCTGTCAGCACAGAGCCTGATGCAGGGCCCAAACTCAAAAACCATGAGATCATGACCTGAGCTGAAGTTGGATGCTTAACCAACTGAGCCACCCAGGCACCCCCCTCCCCAAAGCAGTTTTTAAATTAATATTGTAATTGGTGGCTTCTTAAAATCAAGTCGTTCTATAGAGATTTGTATTACTAAAACTAAGTTAGTGGCCAAATATTGACTTGAATTTTATAGATTGTGGCTCCTTTATAAATTTAGAGAGATGAAAGGGAAAACATAATAGAACAGCCCCTTTGTAGTTTCTTAAAAAAGAAAAAGAAAAGCTAGAACATGAGTGTATGTATTCACATATGTTTTCTTCTTTTCAGACAATATGTGCACTCATTTGTGGACGTCCGATTGTAAAGCCAGAATATTTTACTGAATTTCTTAAAGCAGTTAAGACCAATAAACAGCCTCCACAAATTGAAAGGTATATCCTATGTATATATTTTTAACTTATACTAGTTTATTAAAGGATATGATAAAGGATGCTAACCAACAGCCAGATGAAGACATGCACAGGGCAAGGTATGGGGAAAGGGCAAGGAGCTTGCATGCCCTCTCCAGGTGCACCACCCTCCCTGTACCTTCATGTGTTCACCAACCTGGAAATTCCTGTATTGTGCATTTTAAATGTAATATGATGTACAGAATGTGATAGCACTGATTTTATGTAGTCTTAACGTAAATTATAAAACATATAAATGTAAAACATAAAAACTCTTAAAGACTGTTTCAGGATACAGTGTTCAATTTTACAAAGTTTTTTTTGTTAGTATGTAAAGAACGGTTTGTTGTCTTCAATCTCAGTGAGTGAAACAAATGTGACATATATGCCAGTATTTTATTTATTTTTTAATTTTATTTTTTTAAATTTACATCCAAATTAGTTAGCCTGTAGTGCAACAGTGATTTCAGGAGTAGATTCCTTAATGCCCCTTACCCATTTAGCCCATCTCCTCCTCCCATACCCCCTCCAGTAACCCTCTGTTCTCCATATTTATGAGTCTCTTATGCTTTGCCCCCCTCCCTGTTTTTATATTATTTTTGTTTCCCTTATGTTAATCTGTTTTGTCCCTAAAGTCCTCTTATGAGTGAATTCATATGAGTTTTGTCTTTCTCTGACTAATTTCACTTAGCCTAATACTCTTCAGTTCCATCCACATAGTTGCAAATGGTAAGATGTCATTCTTTTTGATTGCCGAGTAATAGTCCATTGTATATATATACCACGTCTTCTTTATGCATTCATCCATCAATGGACATCTGGGCTCTTTCCATACTTTGGGTGTTGTTGATAGTGCTGCTGTAAACATGGGGGTGCATGTGTCCCTTTGAAACAGCACACCTGTATCCCTTGGATAAATACCTAGTAGTGCAGTTGCTGGGTCGTAGGATAGTTCTATTTTTAGTTTTTTGAGGAACCTCCATGCTGTTTTCCAGAGTGGCTGCACCAGCGTGCATTCCCATATATGCCAGTATTTAAACAAAATAGTTGAAGGACAGCAAATGGCACAGAGGTACAGTCCAGAGGCCACATGTTCCAGTGCCTGGCATCATGTATACAGGACCCCTGGAACTGTGTGGTGCAGCAATGTCATTCTGTGGAGTCACATAGTCCTGGGCTAGACTATTAATAGCACTGTGGCCTTGCGAATGAGCTTATTTCTTCTGAGCATCAGTTACCTCCTTTGAAAAATGAGATTAATATTTGTCCTGTATTTAAGTATTTAGGAGTGGCATTATTTTAAGTAATAGAGTATACAGAGTCTGAGGATGTTGCCTGGCACCATGATAGGTGCTTGTTAAAAGAAATGTTCCTAATTGCAATAATATCTGGTAGGATCCGTAGTAACTTTTATGATGATGATGATGCTGGTGATGATGATTTTAGATAACTGCTAAATTTGTGAACCACCAGACTAAAGGATCTACCTACCATATATATTGTATTTCTGATGCTTTGAAGTAATATAAAGCTACAGTTGAGGAGGAAGATGTTTGGATTTTTATTTTCAGATTGCATGGTTGAATTGCTGGTGACTGTAAAAATGAGTAGGTGTTTTTAGTCAACCTAGCACATGAACATGCTTGGTTAAAATATATGTCTCTAGATTATAGCCTTTATGACATAATAGGTATACTTTATAAGCTCATCTGAATCTCTATAGGATAACTTTGAGTATTTGAGGCTTTAAAAATCTGAAATGTTAGGCAAGTTAAGAATTGTATTAGTATTTGTAAAATATCGTTACATAAACTATTTTGCCCAACACAGGTTTTGTGTGTGTGTGTGTGTGTGTGTGTTTTAGGGACTATTTATATCTGATAATATGTGTCTGCTTTATTTTTTTTATGTATCTGCTTTTAAAAGTAACTGAAAGACATTTCTCCTTGTTTTTATTTTTCCCTTGGGAGGTTTCCTTTATATTGAGGTTAACTGATAATGTATTGTTTTTGGACTCTAGAAAGAGGGCCTTAGGTATTAAAATAGATGATTCTAAAACCTTTTTTGAATCCTAGACCCCTCTGAGAGCAACAAAACACTAGTCTTTCCTCTAGAAACTTCACTTACATACTACCAACTTGCAAAGTATTTCAACAGAATCACATTTTTTCCCTGAAGCCTATTTGTGATCCTCCCTAGGGAACCCAATAAATCCTATAAGTAATGATCTTTGCTACAGATAATAAATAATTATTAATTCTGTATTACTTGGGAGTGGAGGGGTCTGATAGGTTTCTACTACTGATAATACATGTTTTATGGTCTTGAAGTTTTTAGGTTTAGTCATTGATTTCTACTTATTGTTCAGACTCACTTAGGTGTGCTTAACCTGGATCTGTTTTTGAATTTAGGTTCGTCGTAATTTTTTCTGGCTTTAATTTGTGACTCTATTAACTTAGATGACTATAATAAAACTTCTCAGCTGTAAGGTTATTCAGTAATTTCTAATTCATTGTTAACCATGAAAAGCATTTACATTAGCCATGTTTGATAATGGCAACTGATCAAATTTTAATATTATTTTAAAATATGTAGTTTTTTGCCTTACTAGATTTGTGTACCTATTGGGATCCATTCTGATATCCTTGTTGAAGTCTTATTTGACTATATACTCAACTATCAAATAGAAAAAGGATTAAATTTAAATATTAAATAGGATGGGTTACAAAAGGTTTATGAAATTGTGGCTCTTTAATAAAATGTAACTACCTCTTAGTTCTGAAACAGCATTATCGCTGGATTTAAAATAAGAGGTATAGTTTTGGGGTATCTGAGTGGCTCATTTGGTTAAGCATCTGACTTTCCGTTTTGGCTCACGTCATGATCTCATGGTTTGTGAGTTTGAGACCTACATTGGGCTCTGCACTGAGAGCACAGAGCTTGCTTTGGGATTCTCTTTCTCTCCCTCTCTTTGCCCCTGCCCCACTTCCTCCCTCCCTCCTTCCCTCTCTCTCTCTTTCTAAATAAATAAACTTTGAAAAAAAATTGAATAAGAAGTATATTTTTAACCTAACAAAAAGTACAATTCTATTTAGTGCGGTTATGTCTTCATCTTGGCACTGTTACTTATTCAGAGTAAGACAGAGTTTAAGCTTCATGTACCTGACATGATTTGTGAGATCTTACTTGCCTGTATTGTCATCAAAATACCAATGCTGATGAAGTCATTTTTAGAAGACGCCATTTAAAAGTACTGAATTTTGATTATTTATACTTTATTAAAGGAAGCTCATTAAAATATTGTATATTTTCGGGGCGCCTGGGTGGCTCAGTCGGTTAAGCGTCCGACTTCAGCCAGGTCACGATCTCGCGGTCCGTGAGTTCGAGCCCCGCGTCAGGCTCTGGGCTGATGGCTCAGAGCCTGGAGCCTGTTTCCGATTCTGTGTCTCCCTCTCTCTCTGCCCCTCCCCCGTTCATGCTCTGTCTCTCTCTGTCCCAAAAATAAATAAACATTGAAAAAAAAAAATTTTTTTAAATATTGTATATTTTGTGAATGTTAAGAAATGACCCCTTAGAAAAGAGAAGGAGTTACCTTTTGTTTTAATTTTTAGTCTCTCATATTGTGGAGTGCCCTCTCAGTTACTATATTTCAAATAACAAGCATTGTGTTTGGGAAAACACTGTTGGGAGAAAATTAGTATATGCATTCATATGCAACTTGCTGAATGTGCCAAGAATACAAGGCCCTGACCACCCTCTATACCCAGACCATTTCTCCTGGTTTGCAGTGAGAAGCCTTGAGGGAAGAAGTAATGTCCCTCCAGGCACAAAGAACAGGTCTCCTTATAGCTTGCTGTGAAACTGAGTGGATTCTTAAGTTCAGTGTTCCTCTCTCCTGTAACACAACTTACTGTTTGTGCCTTTTATACTGTACCCACAGGACTGGTCTGAGAGGAGATATGCTACAAATACGCTGAGGCTTGCTGCTCACTTTGTCTCTGACCCAGGAGTCTTGTGTCTTCTGCCCACATCCAAGAAACAGGAACAGGCTGTTGGCTTGTAATCAAATATCAGACCCAAGAAACATGTTAGTCTGAAACAGTCTTAGTTTAGGAAGTTTATGGAGTTGACTGTATGTAATCAATCAAAATTCAAGGCAAAGAAATTTAACATACAGCAGAAATTTTTTACTGGCGATAAAACCTCACATTTACAAGTTGTGTATGTCAGTGTAATTCAAGCCTTTTAAAGATCACCAAAAGAATGCTGTATAGTAAGTTCTTATACAAATCATGACCATATGCCTATGGGACTAATGAAATAAAGAGCCATCCAGATGTTGGGCAAATGAACATTGAGGCTTGAGATACAGTATTTTTGGCCAGAATTGTATGTGAATTGAGAAAAATTCTGTATTTGGATAATCTTGAGACAAAAATGAAGATGATGTGCTTTGAGTTAGATGAAATTTATTGAAGATGATGTAAAGAATTTAAAAAGTCATAGAATGTACATAGGGAAAGTCAGGATTTCTAGATTAATACTTTATAGAATTTGTGAATTATATGTAGTAGTTACTATATAATAAAACATAACTATTTGTAGCTCTTGAAGCTTCCATAGAAGTGGGCCAAATTGTTTTAATTTTTTCATTATAGAAAATGGAGATTAGATTATATTTGTGGTAGCCTAGTATTCAGAGACCTTGATCTCTCCCAAGTTAATTTACTCTTTTCCAAAGTTTTTACTAGCTATCAAATCACTGTAGTCTCAGAAATGCTTTAAAACTTCTAGAATGTATTGCTTCAGAAATACTGATTTTTAGTAGTGATTTCTCACTTTATGTTTGTTTTAATTTTTTTAGTGTTTATTTATTTTTGAGAGACAGAGACAGTGCGAGTAGGAGAGGGGCAGAGAGCGAGAGGGAGACACAGAACCGAAGCAGGCTCCAACCTCTGAGCAGTCAGCACAGAGCCCGTTGC